TCGATCTCTTTACCTATATAGGTACTAAAAATAGTTAATAGGTACTCATTAATAAAACAAATAGTAAGTAGGTACCGTGCATTCAGCTGCCGTGGCTAAGTATTAAGTCTAGATAATAATTTAGTATTCAAATCATGTAAGTACCAAGTACGAGAGCTTGAGAATAGCAATAACTGCCTACGCATCTAAGGAGGTTGCTTTATCTGTTCTATAGACCATTTATTTATATTGCAAAGTGAATTTAGAAGTTTATATGTCAGAAGTTTGTATGACTACATGTATAAACTCGACAGTATGTGTGTAAGGGGTTGCGCAGACGAAGGACTTTTGACCGGTAAGGATATAAATCAATTGAATTAAAAAATAACTTCTACGTTCTAAGCAGAAATTGACACTATATTATGAACATAGGTACGTGTAATACAGGGTACTTTTTATCACTACTTAATTAGGGTTCTAATAAGCTTTATCAAATAAAAAATTGATTTATATGAGAGTTGACAACTAAAACTTATAGTATTGACTGTATGTAGAGGTAGGTACTTTATGTAAAGTAGCCGGTTCGCTTGTGGTCTCTAGAAGGACGAGTGAGAAATTAATAAAATTCCTTTCATTCCAGACTTGTAATTAAAAAACGATCAAGTAGTGTGGGTTTTTGAGTTTCAAACAGTTTTTTGCACTTACCTTATTAGGGATCCAGATAATTCTCATTACGAATGCAAAGACTTTTAAATATTCATCTCCGTTCTGTAAACTCAATAAAATTCTTTTTTTACTAGAGGTTGCCCAGTGGTCGACATAACGCTGCGACTCGTTTATTACGGTCTATTTTGTACACCATAACAGATAGCTCGTCGACCCGTAAATGTTATGTCTACGACTCATTTAATTCGGACTACGCCGTAGACCATTATGAATCGCTCGTAGACCCCTAGATGCTGTCGCGGAGAACCTAACGGGTAACCGGGGCTCCGGCTCGACGTGCAGGAGAAGGAACGGGGTGGTTTTTAGTCAGTAAGAGTCTGACACTCCCTCCCGCCTCACCCAGGCGGGAGCAGTCATTCGATGATTTTCCCCCCTTACAAAAAAAAAGACCCCTAGATGCTACGACTCGTTTAATATGGACTACGCCGTAGACCATAGTAGATGGCTTGTACGTAGATCCGTGCATGCTACGACTCATTTAAAAAGGACTACGCCGTAGACCATAGAAGACGGCTCGTAGACCCGTGCATGCTACGACTCATTTAAAACGGACTACGCCGTAGACCATAGTACATGGCTCGTAGACCCGTGTGTGCTACGACTCATTTAAAACGGACTACGCCGTAGACCATAGTAGATGGCTCGTAGACCCGTGTATGCTACGACTTATTTAAAACGGCCTACGCCATAGACCCTTATAGATAGCTCGTAGACCCATGTAAGCTACTACTCATTTAAAACGGACTACGCCGTGGACCAAAATAAATGTTCTGTAGAATTGTAAACCGGTATTCGCTACGACTCGAGGGTTATAAGGTCAAAGCATATTGTACAAAATTAACGAAAAAACGCGGGTTACGAAAAAAGCTCTACTAGTTGAGGTCGCATCTACCTATAGCCATTTAGCTGCGCGACATCGCCGCGACCGCGCACGCTGCTCATGAGGAAGAGCCTCTCTGTTACTCGATACTAGTAGAACTTTTCTCGGTATATTTATTTATTTAATATGCTGGATATTTAAACAAATAGGTGGACTTAATGCCGCAGGCATGTTCTACCAGTCTGACCTTTGGGTGATGCAGAGAAGAGTAAATGGTAAGTGCAAGAGGCAAGCAGTGATTTTATTTAACAATGAAAGATAAACTAATATATTAATAATATATGTATATTCCCGTGAGTAACAGGCGATTTTTACTTAATTTAGTATGTCTCACGATAGTTATTATAAAACCATATTCTACGATTCATTTAGGACACATGTCTACGAGATTTGCCGATATAATATAATAATAAGCACGTCACTTTTTTTTATATTTTGTGACTAAACCAAATAGGGAAGTCGCTCAATTTTATTTATATCCTCTCCTAAATAAGGACAACGTATTATAATAGGTAATGCCTAGTAAACTTTGCATATTACGGTTCTGTTACAGGTAACTTATCTTGTAGTTAGTCACTTGTTAGATTTATAAATAGAAATAGAATTACTATTCAATAGGTAAATAGGTACTTTATTTACATTAACAACTACGGAGATGTTAAAGTAGTTTTACATAACAACAACAAAACATCTTGAGAATTATTAGTCTTTAGGTACTTTCGGGAAACAGGATTGAAATAACTGTTAACCTCTAGAGATTTCTTCTTAACTACATCAATTGGGTTGGTTTAGCCGTAACTACTCGTAAAACGATACCAATGATCACAATCGAAACTTAATCTCTCAAGGAGGTTTCAGAACGGCCTTATCGAATTCAGGAGCACTTCCCCGGGGACATGTTAAAGGTCTTCTTGATATTAGCTAGCAAACGACACGTGGGCTTGTAAACATAGTGCTTTCGTTTACTCTGTGGGGATGCAAGCAGAGCAGAGATCCCTCCCGGTGACGGCAAAGTAACTTTTAACCCAAACTACTACAACCCCTCAATTTTTCTTAGCAAAAGTTGTACTTAGAAGTTAATTTTGGTACAAGGACATTATAATTTATGTTAGGATTAGGACTCGTACGTCTCTAAATACCTACAGTATGTACTTATACGGTTATAAATCCATGGTTAGAATTCATCCATCTAATTTAAATTCCAAGGCACAAAGCACTTTACGAAATTACACCCGTGGGTGTAAGTACGTAAGACTAAGAAGGCATCTACAATAAAATTTTATGTCAGAGAAAATACAAACAAAGGAAGTTTTGCGACATAATTGTTCTCTCTGATGTCGTGATCACCTCGGGGCCTTGGCAGTCTTGTCGCATCATGGGTTATTAAGTGATATAAGTAGTTAAAATTGCGATTCTTATTTCAGCACGTATTCATAACATCGGTCATTGGACGTCTATCACTGAACTATGCCTCCCTTAATGACTTTACGTACTTTAGCTTTATGAAACCAAAAATATAATTACTGCTTACTCAAGGCCTTTTTTAAATAAGCGCGTTACGTATTACAATTGGTCATTCCAGTAGTATCTAAACTACCTATCATAATGAACATCAGCTCTTGAAGTCCACTGTTAACCTACGAACTAGGTGCCCCTACATAAGAAGGTTTGCTATAGTTATTCGTTTGACAGGCGGCTTGTAAATTGCAATGAACTCGCTGTCGTAACTATATCTACATACCTAGTTATATTATAGTGTCCCACTGCAGGTAGATAATATAATCAGACATGATAATGTTGCCAAAGTCAACATGTCAACTTTAAAAAAGCTGGCTGCATAGCCACATTGAAAATATATCCATCACGACTCGTAAAAATTATAAATAAAGCAGTTAAAAATACGATAACATTTTTTCATTCAGTTACCTAGGTACTGTAAACTATTGCTACCTACATAAAGTTATGAGTTTTACATAAATAATATTTATTTTTAACTTAATTTTGTATTAGTAAAGGTCGTCAGAAAAGTAACCGTAACTTAAAGTTACGTAAGTAAAGGTGACTAAAGTACTAAACTATAAAAAGGATTGGCTGATTTGTGTTCATTCAACTTCAGTCATTGAATTAGGTATGTCGGACTATAGGGGACTATTGCCATAGGACTAACTTTGTATTAGGTACTACTGGACAATGGACATACCTATAGATAGATATCCCACAATAAACTATTAAGTTTGTTCGTTACTTCCGATGTGTGAATTCTATTTTCTTTATTACCTACCTAGGTACACCGATAACTCGGTAATAGTGTTTAAAGAGCAATTTAATTAAATAATTTGTCGATAAAATTGATGAAGTAAATAAATAAATCATTGGCTCGCATGAATGTTGAAGTTCAATTATAAAATTTATTTAAAAAGTGAGTACGTATACGTTATAATATTAAATTCAATAAACAATAATTTATTTCCCATCATATAGAAAAGTATTTATATAACACTATACGCAGTGACATTTGCTACCGACGACTACTAACACCTGTACCACAATCAATAAGCATATTCAGTATCTAACTACGTGTCTAGAATAGCCTAATGGACTCATATGAGTAGAGGAATATATGTCGTACTTTATTAACTAGACATATCGAAATCTATTCGTCAAAGAATATAAAACCCTTTCAAAAAACCGTTTGTTATCTTATCATCGCCGCGTGAAACAACTCAAACTCCCCATGGTTACTGCCAACAATAAATAAATTGGGCGCGGGGAACGAAATAAACCTACTTATCGCGATTTATAGAGGCTCACGAACTCTTAGAAAGTTGAATCGTTCAAGTACCCCGATAGAAATAAATACGCAGAAACGAAGGCTCTTACTTAGTTACAAGATCGCTAAAATATTTACAGGCCTTTCAACTTTCTTGCTTATAATAATTACCCACTAATTAAGTTGAAGTAGGTAGGTATAAGGGCTTGGAAACTGAGCAGCGTTTTAATTAGACCGTTTGAGATTTCACCCGCAATGTTATATTTACTAAGTGCGGGCGACATCCTCCCCGGCTCTCCGTATGATCTACTAGTGTAAGTGTAAGCTCATTATGAACGGCTGTCTTTTCCCCGGAGCTTTAAAACTGTGCTGTTACCAGCACGTATTCATTTACCTAGAAAACATTACTTCAGCTACAGCGTTACATAGAAACAAAGATTTACTTAACTGTTAAAAAACATACACGTAAAACAAAAATAAATATATATTTATGAAAGACATTGTCTGAAAGTAAGTAAAATACATATACACATTGAACAAGTTAACTTAAATTAACATGGTAATGAATGATATTTGAGAACGTAGTAGTGGGAGTATGTTGAGTGGGGAGGTCGACGTTAGGATGAAGTGGTGCAGAGTGCTCACCTGGAGTGCGGGAGGCTGCGGCCGGAGCGGAGCTCGGAGTCGGTACACAGGCGCGCGGCGCCCGGCTGCCCGCACACTGCGCGCCGCCGCCGCCGCCCCGCGCCGCCAGGGGGCGCACGCCCGCACGCTACAACCTCCCGCTCCCATCGATCCACCCTTCACACACCACATCCCTACACTCCGCTACGCTCTTCCCCCTTCGACATAGAGTTCCAATTACCCCGACTGCCCGCATGCTGCCCGCCGGCTTGCTACCGGTGGCAACCACACGATGACGTGCGAGCCCTGTTATGATGATTGCACAGCTTTATTTCCACTACCGAGTGCTCGTAATACCGTGTTACCCAATCACTTAATCTGTTTACACTTTGGTGGACGAAATTTATCGTTATACAAAGATCATTTCAGATTTCATACTTGATAAATTAGTTAACTATAAATTAAACTACACTGTCAACAAACAAATAGGAACTTAGAAAGTTTGTAGAGTGGTTCTAGCAAAAGAAACGAAGAGTTTTAACAAATAATATAACTTTATTTCATTTAAGAAAATGTAACTCATAAAATCACAACATATCCATGTACATTTTGTCATCACAACATACGATGGTTACTTCAATTTCATTCATTTACATACTTAATATTAATTGACAAATACAAATACATTTATATATTCATACAACAGAAATAATAACATGTATATCAATATAAATATGATATGTTCCTTCACGTCTACTATCTCTCGACTTGTATGTACGAATATCATAGTTACTTTTATACCTTCATTTATACTGTTCTGTCTACAAGAAGCAAATATGTCGAGTTTATGTATAAAAATAATTATACGTATATTTCAACAACTGGCGGAAGCATTACTTGGAGGCCCCCCGCCACCAGACAACAGACACGTGTGGCGGAATTATTATCCATAAAGTACACATCTTACTTAGTTCGACGCGAACCTGAATAAACTAACAGACTACAAGAGTCTGCATTCTGTAGCTCTTAGTAACTAATCAATATGAATATAATAATATTTACAACTTCGTATGTACTTTGTCTATTGTACAAAAAGATCCTATGTAACGTGGTTTTGTTATTTACTGAATCAATTCCTCGTGAAATATTGCTAATTATTACTGTTAACTTGATATATCTAACACACAATAGAAGTGGCATGTTCCATTAAAATCATTATAAATTGTTGAATGCAAATGTTTGCAGGAAGTATGCACTTTCTATATAATATAACAGAGTACTGCGTCTAATATCACTGTAAGTTTGTTTTTTGAAAATGTGATAATTTTCATAGCTTATATTATATTTTGTCAATGACTTTTTTAAAAACATAGGGATGAGTGTTAAGGTACACGCAGCACTAACTTTCTATTATGCTTTGGATGGCTCCCACCTGACTTAGAAGGGATCCTCAACTATATCGAATGTTTAGAAGACAGGCTCACTAATGCTTTTGAGGTAAATTGTGATTAATTAAATATTTTTATTATACTAAATCTATCTATTATTAGACTAATGGATTTACAAGAGACATGCATGAATAGTTTTAGTAAAACAGAGCACCCTTTAAATATTTATCTAATCTACGCAATATTTAGGATTCATAGTTTATAATTTATACATTCACAATAACGTAATGGTACTAAAAATACTACAATTTGTACACAGTGGTGATAGATGACTGTTAAAACTAATACATGCATCGACAATAATACTTTATAAGTTTATACTTTATTAAGAAATGAATAAAAGTTATAATGAGTCGCAATAAAGTTTGATGAATGTGTAACAACGCTTTGAAAGTAACCATAGCATAATTTAACATCACTTTAAATACTAAAATATGAAATTTAATTATTAAACAATCCATTAATTACACGATACAACCCTTGAAATAGTACACATTACGTAAAAATAATTATTCGGTACATAGTAATAGTATTCACAAAAGGGATTATACACAAGTCACAATTATTTTTATATTTTATTAAAGTGAGTGCACTTACTGGTCTGTGCAGATGTAAAAATTTATTTTTTTAATAAAATTTAAATTTGGAATATTAAAAAACACATCGAAAGCCAAAAAATTTTAACTAACACTTAACATGATATAGGAAGAATTTTTACAGTCATAGCTATTTTATTAGTTACAAAATAGTTATGTAGAAGCACTATCAGAAGATATTGGAACGTGTTTTTAGAAAAGAACTCGGAATTATATACCTACGTCACAAATGTATTCGTGTACACATACCAAAAAGGTAAAATGGAATAAAATATCGAGGAATGTAAATATTTCGTGATACCTCGTTATAAAAGCAGAAACTGTAGACTTACTATTACGAAAATCGCGTTTACTAAATAGTTCCACTGCAAAATACGCCTGTCCCCAAATTATAAGATAAAACTTGAAATCATGCTATATTAAAAATGTTGGTTCCTTGGGGATGCATTAATAAATTGTTATAAGATAAATATATCACAATAATATCTCTTGTATATTTATGTATTTTTATCTAAATTGGCATTTTTACGGAAGTTAGAATCTAAGCTTCATTGTACCCTATAACTGGCATCACTATGCACAGTACATTATTTGACGTCTTATCGTAAACAAATATTTACAAATTCCAATGTACAATAATATTAATGTCTATAGAAGCCCTTTGGTAGTATCCTTGTTGGGGCATACTTCTCACTTTGTTAACAAATGTAATAAAATTATATAGATGCTATACATAAAGTAGGTATTTAAAATATAACATGTATTGTACTTTAATATAAGCAACACTTTTGAGAATTATTGCTGTCGTCAACAACCCGTCTTGCTACGCTAAAAATGCTTGCTTGTACTAATATTGCGTGTAAATTATGACAATTTTATTTACTCTTGTATCTTTTGCATTTGGCTATCCACATTACTATTAATATTTAAAACCTACCAAGCATTTTTAGACTTACAATGAGTCTAATCGTTTAGGACTAGTTTATCACCTTACAAAGACAAGGAAACATTTTGGTCACTCTAATTGTATATACCTACTATCGATATCGATGACTATTTCACCATTATAAAAACAATAAATCATCATCATTACAACTTCTTTCATGACCCTCGTTGGTATTAATTTAGGCACAAACCTATAGCACCGTCTACCTAAGGAATTATTGCAACCACTAGAACGTAATAAATGTCTAATTCGATTAACAGTTTTCGTTAAAATGTCCAATATCAGTTCGCACCATGTATTTTGGTCATCGCTTGGGTTTAATATCAACTTTCAGTTGGAGAGTACTTTCACACAACCCGTGATAATATTATGGAGATTATCGTCATAATATGTAGGGAAGGCAGAGTACCGAGTATGGGGCACAGAAGGCGATGGAGGCGACGGACGTCCTGATTGCGTTGGACGGCCGGGCCTCGGCCGGCTGGTGCTATAAGTCGGTCTCTGTCCATTGCTAGTCGCCCCGACGCACCCGTCTGGCCGCCGCGGTGTTGTGGCGGTACCACCACACCTGCAAAATAACAACTAGCATCACAAAAAGAACATTATGCAAACTTAGCCTTCGTGATGTGTACGGTACTCGGCTAAACGATTTCTGTCACTTATTGTGTGACAGTTTCCATTGCGTGGTTATTGCCATCACTTTTACATTAAAATCTAATTTCGATCGAGTATCTAGACGTCACTAGAGTGTATGTTTATCGAAGCGTGAGGAACTGAATGACGTGTTTTGCATATAGATCATCTGGTCGCGTGTCACCTAGGCGTCGTTATCATAACTAGACTGCAGCATAATTTAAGTTCGTTCAATTCAAGTGCTGTATTTACATTAGTTTTGAAATCTGCGGTGGCCGGAAAAACAGTGATTAATAGGTTTAGGTACCTATAATTTTACTAGTATAACAGTATACAGGGACATTGATGATAGATAGGTAAGTACATGGTAGGTAAGTAAGAGTGAGTGTTGCACTGATTGTGCTTACAGAAAATGGTTTGTATAGGTACACTGATTGACATCTGATAACCGGTTCCATAACATAACATCACGCCTTTTATCCCCGAAGAGGTAGACAGAGGTGCACTCTACTGTACAATGTACCTAACACCCACTTTTCACTATTTATGTTATGAGTCCAATGTAATAGGGGGTTAGCCTGTTGCCATTTACCGGGCACAATTCCGGACTCCGTGGTACTAAGAAACCCAATAATACTTTTCCCGACCCGGGAATCGAACCCGAGACCCCTTGCCCGGCAGTCGGCCTTGCGACTACTCGGCCAATGAGGCAGTCCGGGTCCCTTCATTAAATTTTATTCTAGATGAATATGATTACTTGCTTTGATTGAGACGATACCCTAAGATAATGAGAATGTGGGTGGCATGTAACAGCCATGCACAACAGTTCGTCAAAACATTCTACCGTACGGATTGCACAGCTTTAGCATCTGGTGTCTGCGTCACAGATTTGCTCCCGGAAATTAAATTTGAATGCCCTACATGACAGTTGCGGTCTCCGGTCCAATAGTTTGTGTGTGAGAGATTTGATTACAGACGCACTCGCTACACAGGAGAAATTACTACAGGTAACGTTCAGAAAGTGCATGCACCATTAAGGTAGTAGGTATTAATTAATTAAAGAAACAAAACAAAACCTAAAAACCAATAATTGCCAAACAAAAGCAAGCAGCACAAAAGCGTTTAGATGACATTCAAAAACCCGCCGGCTACATTATTTGCATAAAGGTGGAATTTCTAATGTTCGCCGATCCCGATTCGTACGTCACTCACCCTTTACAGGTAGGTAACCCGTTGCTAAAGCGAGGACTGAATATCGGAAGGCTGGGCTCCCACATGCGAACCGATATCGTCAGAGTGTCATCACCTGACCATCTGTAAGCCAACCGTCGGTATTACGGCTAGTTAGCCCTTACGAGCCACGTCGGAACATCATCTAAGGCGGCAACGTCTCCAAAGACCCTGTGCTTGCTTTACGGAAATAAGCTATAATTTAAATTATATTCCAAAGTCGGTAGAATATTCGTTGTGCAAGTGTTATTTCTCCTGTAAAATGATGAGTAGGTACAGCTGTATATTGCGTCAGTGTATCCACATTCCACAAGGTTGCCGAATTACAAATATTTATTGAAAGAAAACAAACTGTGGCGCAGTTTCCGGAGATGGTGTTTTAAGACGTTTTAGGATTGTAAAATGTATTGGCACTCACTTGAGAGAGTATTACGATATCTAATGAGACTTGAAGGCCCCCACACAACCAAAACTGAGGAGGCGCTTTTCTTAAAACGAAGTATGCAGTCTTGAACAAATCACCACACGTCCACATTATCACCATGCTAACACTGAAAAGTAAACAAATATCGTTAACTTCGCATAATCAATTGATACCTCATGAGGATAAGGTCTCCACATGTCTAGTTTAAGGTCGGATTCTTGTCATCAGGATTTTGTTGTGTGTCGGGTGCGGTTTACGAACGCATCACCCTCAAACCGTGAACAACAATTTGGTGGATCTTACAAACAACATGGCTTGGTAGCCTAGTCCTTGTGCCGATAGTGCAGTCGATTGTACATACGTGTTATAGAGTATATACGTCTAACTTCAATAGAGTAATAATAACCTCCTCCTTTTTGGGAAGTCGGTTAAAAAAGTAGGTTGCCTACTCGAATTAAATATCAATATTAGAATCTACAACTTACCTCATGCCCTCAGTACTTTTATTCTTATGATTTCTGGCTATCTGAGGTGCACCAAGCATGGCCTCGGTGAATAGAGCAAGAAACCCAATAAGTTCCACGAATGGTGAGAACTCTATTAGCAGGTAGGTTACCGCTCCTCCTAGTACCGAGAACACCAGCATACAGTCTATATAGCTCTGGAAGTCTGTCCAGGCCCAGAAGTACTTCCTTTCCATATCTGCAATAGATACACCATAGTTATCAGTGTGACTATAATTTTGTGAATGGATAGTCTGGCACATGGAATTTAATTAAATAGTGTTCCTATTTACTTATGATAGGTTTACAGATGATAGTTACAACTAGTTATACTATGAAAGTGGATTACTAATATTGCAAGTATCCGGTTTGATTTCCCAGTTGAGCAAACTATTGTTGGGTTTGTGCAGGATTAAGTATGGGACTGAAACTTACTTGACGTAAAAGCAATGGGAAATAAAATAACGCGTAAAATGGGTGGATGACGTAGGCAAGAAGGTGCACCACTTGATTGTTTTGGGGTAAAGATGATGTATTTTTTTGTCATTCCAATTAATATAACGTTCTTCATTTTAGTCAAAAGATATTTATAGAATTTACATGCATTTTTCATAAATAATACTGTAGGTATGTGCCAGACCAAAAAAGTGTATAATTTCAACCACACCATAGTATTAATAATGCAAACTGTACAATTCTATCTCGTTAGTTGTGTAATTTGTTATTACATAGATATAATTATAGATACCACAATGCTTACAATGAAGTAGGAAGTCATGCCGAAGCAAATGACATCAATAAACAGATAAGATATCTGACACAAAATTGACCCATTCGTGACTCCTTAGATACCAAATAACTTGTATAATTACAAGAGCATTGAACCGAGGTTAGATACACATGTACTGTAGCTTAAATACCAAAATATGTATAAAAATCGTAATACAATATATGACCATGACACAATGATAAAACGTTACCATGAATGCTACAAACACAACAACTATTTATTACTTAAACCTCCACCATAATTTTCTATAAAATCCAACATTGAAGACATGCAACAGAAAATAATAAAGCAAATAAAAATATGAAAATGTAAAACAAAAATTAACGATCCCATATCATGTGACAAACTGCACATAATATTGTCAAAGCATGGGGTTGCTGAAACAAAAACTATAATGATGACTTGCACATGAGACAAATTGCAGCAATCCTTATGACATGAAGGAGAGAGCTGGCACTCACCATAGAAGCGATGTGGCTTCTCCCCACCACTGATGCTGCTGCGCTGATTCAGCCAGCGTGCAGTTTGATCCGGCTGGTCTGAGCCGTTTACACAACACAACAGTATATATAACATGAATATTGCACCTAATTTCACCATCAATCACACCAACCACCAAACAGAAAAAAAAGAAAATAGAAAAAATACCATAAAATAATGTTAAAATAAAATTAATTATAGCAAATAAAATGGAAGGAAGTTAGTGGGTTACCAAATGTTGCTCATATCATTGATATGATTGAGGAGAAATAATATAAGAAGCAATAAATATAAAAGAAAGAAAATCTAAAAATGTTAAAATATACTTTGTTTAACTACAGGATTTCTAAAGAAATGTGTTTTCTTAGCAATAAATAATATTTAATACATATAGTTTTACAGTGCTATGTTAATTTGTGATTTCTAATATTGAAAAATAAAACCATATTCATTGGTAAGAGTCATTTATACCAACCTGTGAATATTCTCTCTCTAGCTCTAATAATTTGGTTCTTTTTTCGTACATTGACACAGAGGTGTATCATCACAAACATTGTGACATTCATTACTATACTTTGGATTAATAGAGGAGTCTCATAGCGTTTACCAAACCTGTAAAAATTGGATACAAGTTAAAACATTTTACAATATTGCTGAGTCATGCATAGTATCAATGAATCACAGTGAGTTTACTGATAAAAATTATCTGATATTTCTTTTTGAGTAATACATAGATAGGCATCCACATATTATTAAAGGGAATATCAAAGTTGTGTGGTTTTCTTGATAAATAAAAATATTGCGATAGAGCTGTATTGCCAAGGAGACAACATAACAGTGATTGTTCTACAAGGACCTGATACAAACATGATGTAACACAATAATCTTAGACCATTCAGTACTTCAAATAATTAAGCAATTCATGTTTCAAATAACTGCAATGTTTGTAAATTGGCTATTTTATTCAGATGTTTATGCCAATGAAACTGAATTGGTCATAAAAAAATTATATGCTATTTTAGTTACAATGCAAGAGATTACGGGTTGTGGTTAATGTGGACAGAATTGGGTTAATTAATGTGGGTGAATGTTTTATACATACCAAAACAATATCCTCAATGTATTTGCTATTAGTAGAGTTAAACAAACGTATAAAGAGAATCCTTCAGCATCTTGTGTTCTCTTGATTTGCCAGTACTGTGGGATGTAAGGGGCGACGCCACCTACTATCATAGCACCAGCTGCTACCCAACCTACCAGATGGCCCACAGTAAGCCCTAATTCGTCCGAAATGATCCAATCCATTATTTCGTGATTTTAAGACGGCCAATATCAAACTATAAAGTAATTATTCTCTGATATTGTAAGTGAATCACATTAATCACAAACTTCATTTTTATGAATATTTAACATTTTAACTATTTTTACTAAAGCAGTATATATAATTTATCTTAGCGCTACAATACAACGCAAATCGATCGATAAAAATGAACCGCGTTTCTGGTTTCTATAAATATTTGTTTCATAACGAGATATCTCTTTTATCATCATCTTAAAAAGAAAGAGAAAAAGATAGTCAGTTATGTTTAACAAGGTGAAACCATTCACAAAGTTGTCAGAATCAAAATGACATATAGATTATCGTTCTAAAATAGTAAAATTTGTCATCAAAAAGAAACTATGTATTTTTCGTAAAATTAAATTATTATGTTAATAAATTAGCTATATGTCTGGAAAGTTCCTAGACATCAAAACTATGAGTAAAACTGTAAAAATAATAGTAAGACAATCAATTTATTTTCAAATAATAAACAATGTTATCGTTATCAGCTGATAATGACATTATTGATTAGCTGTCACCTTTATAAAAATAAATACGAACGAAGATAACCTCCCTGAGGTTGAGACCTTTTATTGTGAAATTAATTTGCTTGTTGTGAGCTAAAATATGACATTAATATCAAAATTATGTACTGCTTTACGCAACCCTTATACGGTTGAATGTATTCCTGCATTATTACAGTCATCAAAGATAAGCTATGTTCGCTGTTATTCAACCCGAAAAGAAAGCGGTTTGGCTAGAAGTCAAGAGAGAGGCGATGTGTCTACCGACGTCCGACCTCTAGGAGAGAAAATCAAAGAAACAACTAAGACTGCAACATACACTGGAGTCATTCTAGTAGGAGTTGGCGTCACTGGTATCATATTTTATTATGTCTTTCGGGAATTGTTTTCTAGTAACAGCCCTAACAGCATTTACTCAGAGGCATTAGAAAAATGTAAAAATGTGAGTACCTACCTGTCAGTATCAAAATTATCTTTTTTATTTCCAATGTAAATGGAACAATGTTTAGTTAGTGCTAACTAGTTTTGTGACTATAGAAAACCATGATATGTAGTGACCAACTAGATAAAAATTGTTCTATTAAAAATCAATATTTTATTATATATTTTCAGGATCCTCGAGTGGAAGATGCTTTAGGTGCTCCTATCAAAGGTTATGGTGAAGAAACAACCAGGAGGAGGCGCACTCATGTAAGCCATGCTGTGTATGAAAAAGATGGAGTCAAACACATGAGGATGAGATTTTATATCAAAGGAATTAGGAACAAGGGCATTGTTGAACTTGATATGAAACAGGTAGGCTACTTTAAACTGTCAAACACCAAGCGGTCACCGGTGACCGCAACCTATTGTTCTATAATGGGGATGATGACAGGGTATGAAAATTAAAAATATAATTAGTCCGTAACTTAGGTAATAAAAAAATATTAGACACGTATTTTTTTATTTTGTTGTATAATAAAACAATACTTAGATAAAACGAATCAAAGTTTAGGAGTGGGGGCTAAAACGTCATTTCTTAGTATAAAATGTACTGAGAAGTGACGTCACGCGACATTTCAAATCAATATATCTTCGAAACTATTCGTTTCCGTAAGAAAATAAAAAATACGTGTCTAATGTTTTTAAATAATCTACCAGACGGACATTAAAATAAAAATTAGTCGTCTACCCCATTGTGTCTACAAAGACGGTACTTGACGAGTTAAACACTAGATAAATATCATAAACTTATTCAATGTATTAAAACTTACTTTTCTTTTTGTTTTAGAATGAATATGGCAATTATTTATGCCGTTACCTGTTAGTTCAACTTGATGACTATTCGGCCAAGACCTTCATTATCGAAGATAATAGGGCAGAACTGGACAAGAAAACAGGTTTCAGCAGTTCATTATCAGCTCTTACCATAAATCAGTGAATAAAATACTTTAACCTTGTAAATTGTAAAAAGAAATATAGTTTAAGTAGTAATTGCAATCTAAATAAAATAACAATTTTTTTATCAATCTTTTTATTTTTTGGTGAGATATTTTAGACTTTCATCTATAATTCATTATTTGAGGTAGGTACACTGGATAGTAAAAATGTAAATTTTCTTTGATAAGGATGGACAGCAAAATGTTGTGTTTTCATTATTAATAATAACAATAAAAATCACAACACTTTCATTTATGGAGCAGCAGGAAGACATGTTACCATTATATTACATAGTGGAAAGTTGGTGTTACAATGTATAGTGGCGTTAAGTGCCGTAATGTGCACCTCTGCCTATCCCTTCAGGGATAATAAGGCGTGATGTTATGTTTTGTTACATTGTTCTATTTTCTGGCAGTGTGATTTTTTTTATTGTTTAGTAATATTTCTTTTTTGTTACTATTTGCTGTTTCTTCCAGGGCAGTATCTCCCAGGCCATAACCAACCGGTTATTGAACACAAACTTTTTAATTTTGTTAAATATCCAATAGAAGACTACAACCAAAGACAGATATTGTGGCCATGCCCATTTTATTTCTTGAATCAAACTTGGAATGTATTTTACTTCCATTTCTGGCACTCTTACACTAACCTGTATTTGTACTGAACCAGTATGTCCATTCTGACTTCTTGAATACAGTGCTTTTGTGTGTGTAGTAACTGGAAGCAGTACAATAACTTAGAAAGAGTTGGATCAAGTTAGATAATATTTTTCTATTATAATGTTATTCATGATCACATGTGGATTCAGGAGGTGACAAGCAAGTTTTAGAATTGTGTTTAGCACCAGCAATCTTAGTCATAGCCAGCTGGTATAGATAGTCAATTATTGTAGTATTTAGTAACAGGATTGCTTCCTAACTGACTTGGGAGCAAATCTTACCTTCTCTCATATAGTATTTCTCCAGTATGTAGTCTATTGTATTTCCAGGTTTCTTTCTATCATAATTAAAAACAGAACTGTTATATTTAGTGTGCATGAGGTTATGTTTGCAGGGTAAATGTGCTGTTTGGTAGAACTCGAGATCGGCAAAATATTTAAACCCCGAAGGTGGTGTTGTGAATTCCTTATTCACTAATGCCAAACTCTGCATTTGCAGTGGACAGGCTGACTAAAAAGAAAAGAAAGTTTTCAATAATTACGTTTAGAAAATCAATGTGAAACAAGACTGTGGGACTCTGTATGTGACTCGAAAACTAATAGAACATATCTCAGTATATTTACATAACTCATATTGTTTAGTTAATGTGAAACAAATAACTTTATATTAAATCTATGAAAGAAAATACCTTTAATTGAAAATTTAATCCTAAAATTAAAATTAGAGATGTGACTGTTCTGTCCCGTGGCACATTTAAGTAGAATTTAAAATCTAACACATCATTATGTTTATCTCCAGTGACATCATATTCTTGAACCTGTAAATTGAAAATTTTAAGTAGTTTAGTTAGTAGTTTCCAGAGAACACTATACTACGTATTTTTTAAATGAAAGTTTACCTGAAACTCGACACAGTTCTCTTCATTTCTCATAAATTCTCCGAAGCTTTCATTAGTTGCACCACATTGTATAGATACAGTGGGATCATCAGTCTCCGCTACCAGTAAGTATTCGTACGTAAATTGTACTACTGGCTGTTCATAAAAACTGTGAGATCGGAGCCAAAAACCTGTAGTCGAAATGTTATTGAATGAAACAAGGATAGTATCCAGATAAGTACCTACCTATATCATGCACGTCCTTGGCTCTTACCTCTGCCTCTGTAAGCTATTATGAAAGGTAAAATAAAATTCAAAACGGTAGTAGTTAGAGTAAAAAGCGTAGCTTTCGATAGAAAACAACTCATATAATGAACTTCAACATTATAACTAAATAGCTTGTAAAGACCCATTATTAACCCATTTATCTGTAACAAATTGTGTTATTTATTAAAAATATTTAGTTTAATCACAAGAATAACCAGTTTTTCTATAAATATTTGTCATTTTTTATTATTGATCAACAACAATCTGTTGCTAAGCAACAAAATTTGGTGTTGCTAGAGACATAAAAAAAATGTTGCCCTTTAAATTAAACAACCGATATTATTTTCAGTACCAACAATGCAGTACCGTGCTCATAATACAATGACATTATAAAACACATATTTACAAAATATTATACAAATACATATACTTATTTTGTTTCGTAACATTCATTAAAAATAACGTAAATCATCACACCTTTCATTATCCGAGGGTGTGTAATATTCACTTTTCACCAGTAATGATTTATTAGTCTTAACATGAAAGTGGGAAGTGATTTTTTTGTAAGCTTTACTAATAATAATATTAGTTTTAGATTAAAATCTGATATTATGTAGATGCTAACTAAACTAACGTTACTTACTTTTTTCTAAAGATTTCGGTAATTAAGGTATTTGCACCTTCTTATCAGACAACTTTTGTTTTTTGTTGTCGTCACGGGCAAGGCAAACCTTTAAAAAGCTTTTAAACAACTTACTTAATTATGATCTAAATTAATTTCTTACCAATATTGATAGGTAATACTTCCTCACATCTAAAGTTATGGTAAAAATTATATCTTGCATTTGTGTTCTCTGTTCTTAAACTATTTACTAACTAAAACAAAAGACTGGGTATTTGGTAGCAGAGTCAGTTATGCTGTTTTATTTTGTACAATAGAGGTAGACATTGTACTTAGGTACATGTATTTGAAATGTGTTAACTGAATTAAATCTCATAATAAATACAATCACAAAGAAAAGTGTTAGTGAAAATCTTTAACTAATAGTGATATTAAATATACAGATTCTACCTAGATGTGATCAATTATTAAATCCGACTTGCTTACTTAAATGGTCATTGTAATGTAAACGTTATTTTATACATGAAGACATTGTTGATGCTTGCTAGGACCTATTTATGTATCTACATTAATAGGTACCTTGCTGTTCATTACCCAGTGTTTATTCAAAACGATGATATATATCCTTTTTATTTACTTGATGGGCCGACGTTTGACCATTATATTGACTGGCTTAGCCTAAATTAGCGACATAAAATCTTATTACCTAATGAACATAATACTTGATTTGATTAACTTAGGTAAGTGTTGAAAGTCGAAGACTTTTAACTCTCCTTTACGATACATAAATATTAATACTAGGTAGATATTAGATATTATTTTTACTGCTGTGTAAATTCCTTAAGTTTTAACATTTTATACATGAATGTACACTGTAACCCCAGTATTATCTAAAGTTGTAACTAGTTCTTTGTAAGAGAAGTGTACTTGTTTTACCCACGAGTCAGTGAACATAAACAATAGCACTCCTAGGAGCTAGGGATTCTGGCGCCTGTGTTGTCAACTGATACCTAAGGGCGGTGAACGATCCTTTATGTTAACTGGCCCTATATAAAGGGCCCAAAACTTACCAACGACATCATTCGCTCTGCGGTCTAATCCCGGAGCACAGTGAGGTCCTTTAGCGGGACTTGGAAGTCTTGGATACACGTACAGCATCTACGCAAGGATGTCTATGGTCAGGCGTTCTAGTATGGACAGAATGTCCTCAAGCATGACGTCCAGCATGACTGGAATGGGCTTGGGTGGAATAACTGGACTGACATCGGGCATGAGTACGCTGAGTTGCATGAGGGAACAGCAGATGACGATTGGTGGAATGCCTTCGAATTATGTTCCAGGGTTGTCTGCCTACTATAACATCTCTAGCTTCTGCCAACGTCCTGGACAAACACGTCGTTGGCCGATGCAGCGTGCTGGGCCTACAGCTCAACATCGTCCGGGCCGCTCTCATAGTACTGGTTCGCTACACCGCATGAAGTATTCGATGAGAAACAGCCCTAACACGCAGTACACACATAACTTGATTTGCAAGATGGCTGACCAAAACGAACGTCGACGCCGTCAGGATACGATGGAGATGATTCCTCAGAGCTATTATTCGCAGCAGCCACTCAAGGTAGAGCTCACTGAATTCTACTCTCGAGACAACTCCAAAGACCATCACACTGAACAATATGACTTGGTGAACGATAACATTCTGCCGAACCCGGTTCTCAGGAGAGGTCAAAACTTCTTCTTTGCTGTTCGGTTCGACAGGACCTACGATAAGCAGCAGGACATGATCCGCATCGTTTTCTGCTTTGGTAAGAAAGTCTTATTACGTTCTTTAGTAAAAAATATCATGATTCATAAATATTTTCTGCTAATGACATATTTTCTACAGGTCCGAAGCCCAGCGTTACCAAAGGAACTCGTGTCGTTTTACCTGTGAACTGGAGCAACCAACAAGGAGTATTCCAACATTCTCGTGACATGATGGGCATGGGTCTAGGTATGGGAATGTCTCGCATGCAAGATACAAGTACTAGCATGGCTCCTATGGGATCTATGGGAACGATGAGTACCATGGGCAACATGGGACCAATGGGAACTATGGGATCTATGGGAACAATGGGTTCTATGGGTCCCATGAGCGGTATGAGAGAAACTACGACATATGGTGTCCGCCGCAGTTCATTTAGCAATGAGCCATTGCCATTGCAGCATAGTCCTCTTAGTCCTCATGGACCTATGGATCGTCCGATGATGGATCGTTATGGAGGAACAGGGCAGCATTCGACATTTGGTCGTGGGTATGGTTCACGTCACGGCTCTATGCAGAATTTGGCGTCTCTTGCTCATGACATGGACAGGTGGGATATTAGCATTCAGCGTCAAGATGGCAACACGATTACCTTCCAAGTTCACGTACCAGCTACTGCCCCCGTCGGAGTATGGAACTGCTGGGTTCAAACTAATCGGTTTGGCCAGCGCGATAACCGCCACGATTACAAATGCGATGAAGACATATACATGTTATTCAACCCTTGGTGTCGTGAGGACCCCGTCTACATGGACAATGAATCATCAAGGAAGGAATACGTGCTCAACGAGCAAGGAAAGATCTGGTGTGGCACTTGGCGTCAACCGAAGGGGCGTAAATGGATTTATGGACAATTTGATGACGTGGTGTTGCCTGCTTGTATGTACTTGTTGGAACGAAGTGGTCTTGAGCATTCAGAACGAGGTAATCCTATTCGGGTTTGCAGAGCTATTTCGTCGATGGTAAGTCATCAAAACACGTAATTTTACATAAATTTAATGAGGAAAGGGTCATACATTTCTTTTTTTGTAGATAAATGCAAACCACGACGATGATGGCCTGATGGTTGGCCGTTACGATGGAGAATACAAAGATGGCGTTGCACCGCATGCTTGGACTGGCTCCGTGGCTATCATGGAGCGTTACCTCACCGACGGCGGCAGGCCAGTCGAGTATGGCCAATGCTGGGTGTACTCTGGCCTTGTGGTTTCAATTTGCCGAGCTCTTGGTACTGTATTTTTTACAATTGTACTTTATGAATGTGCCAAAGGAAAACTAGGCGCTTATTAAACGGTTATAATTTTCAGGTATTCCTTGTCGTTCTGTTACCAACTACGTGTCAGCCCATGACACGAACAGGACCTTTACAGTTGACAAATACTTCGATCGTGATGGCAACGAAGTACCAAATGGACCGGACGAAGATTGCTACGATTCCTGCTGGAACTTCCACGTATGGAACGATGTATGGATGCAGCGACCTGATTTGCCTCAAGGTAAACAGGAAAATGAAATACGATTATAAATCTCTAAAGAAACTATAACAGTTATGATTGCTTATTTACCTTTGTATAATACAGGCTACAGTGGCTGGCAGATTATCGATTCCACACCCCAAGAGGAAGCTGAAGCTGTATATCACTGCGGTCCGGCTAGTGTCGAGGCGGTGCGCCGCGGTGAGGTCGGCTTCCAATATGATACGCCCTTCATGTATTGTCAGCTCAACGCAGAACTCTGCCACTTCCAAGAAGAGGAGAATTCTGAATGGGGTTTCATTAGGATGGCTTCCAACCAGTACCAGTGAGTACAAATTAAATTATACATTATTAAACTTCACCTAGTATGATTAGCATTAAAAATCTCACCTGCCTTTTACAGAGTTGGCCGCAAGATTCTTACCAAGAACCCGAACCGTGACGACGATGAAGGTGACAGTGATATGCTGGAGATCACACATGAGTATAAGACGGTTGACAGCTCGTCTCCAGAACGTTTGGCTGTTATTGCTTCTTGCCGCGGCTACCAACGCTTGCAGCAGTATTACGAATACCCAGACCGCAATTTCGAAGACGTTTACTTCGATCTTATGGACATTGACCTCGTGCCTTATGGACAGCCGTTTGATTGCACGATGAACATTCAGGTACTGATTGGTCGATATACACTAAATGTGTCTTCATTTTAGGTTTAATTTTTGACATTACTGATTTTATTAATTGTTGTCACAGAATAAATCGCATGAAGATCGCACCATCTGGTGCGTCTTGACGGCTTCGTCATGCTACTATACTGGCGCCATCGCTTCGCGACTGCGAAGGGCTCAAGGAGAGTTCATTGTTCGCGCAGGACAGCGTGAAGTACTGAAGTTGCACGTCACACCACAGGAATACATGGACAAGCTAGTGGACCACTCCATGGTGAAGGTGCATGCCATGGCTTACGTTAAGCAAACACGCCAGGCTTGGTCAGATGAGGATGATTTCCCACTACACAAGCCTAGGATGCAAGTGCAGGTGATTATTGCTCTAAAACAGATAATAATATTGAAACTCATTATTGGTTATCTAACATTTCCTAATATTACAACTATTTTATTGGTAGGTGAGGAGCCAGCCATGCATAGGACAAGAATGTGCAGTCACATTCAGCTTCCAGAACCCATTGAACGTTCACCTTACCGACTGCTACTTCACGTTTGAAGGACCTGGTGTGCAGAGGCCAAGACAGGTACATACCTAACAATATTATCCTACTTTCTAATGTAAGTAGTTCTAAGAGGGAAATAAAACGGGCCATATGAATATGTTTTCTTGCTTTCAG